GGATCTTAACTCACCTAGCTGTAAATTGACATAAGAATTCAGAGAATTTGCAGCAGATATGCATTTCAGTGACTTCCATTAGATTCTCCCTAGAATTTTAGAAAGTCACCTACCTCAGTCCAGATTCATTGTGTGTGTTACAAAGTCCATTTTCACAAAGGATTTTGATAGCATGACTTTTTCCTTTGCACTCCCAGGAGTATTTTACATTAATGATGCTATATACAGGAGTCTAGGGGAAGTCATTTTGTAATAAGTCCCCATCCTCTCAATTAAGAAATATAAGACAGATAAATTGATTTTTTTATCTTCTCATACTATGGAAAAGCTGATGGTATATACTTATAATTAAAGGTATTAATGGAGAAAACTAGAAACTAAACCTGAAAGTCATATCCTATCTATATTTGTCATCTTATTACCATTCACAAGAATAGCTCTACAACAATCATGAAAGTGTCCAAATTTCTTCAACATGTTGATTTTAATCCCCTTGAATAAACCAAAAATTTCTATACTCATGAGTGGGGTTGCTAGATGAGATGGCAATTCTGTTTATAAGTTTTAGAAGGTCTGTAGTGTTTTTTATAGAGACTGTACTGGCTACATAGTTTCTTTGCACATGGATAAAAAACAAAATGATAAATTAGAAAAATCAATAAATAGGAATCATAATTAAATTTTGACAATGCAGTATATTTAATATAAGATTATAACCTGAAAAACTGCATATGAATATATATTCATATGTTTATAAGCAGTTGGTATTTTTACAAACTACTTTAAAATATAACTCTATTTAAAATTTGTACTAATCAAAAGAAAAATTCTTTAAATATTAGCATATATGCCTTAGTAACTTAATAATTCAACTAAATCCATCAAAGATTCAAATTTTTATTTGTCTTATTGGTCTAAATTTTGAGAGCTATTAGGTAGAAAAGCATGATTCTATAGAGAAATTCATCACTCATATATTTCTTTGTAATGTTGCTGTAATTTCACATTACATAAAAGATATCATCTTACCAACTTAAAGCACACAATTCATTATTATGTTCACTCACACTGTTAGTAATTATTAGGCCCCACATCTTTTCCCTTGATCGATTCCTACATTCTGAGGCTGACTATGAAGGTCAAACTATCAGAATATTAAAGTCCAGAATATTAAAGTCCTTTTTGGTGCACTAAATCTGCATGCCACCCAATCACAACCACTTCCTAGCCCATTCTAACACAGAACTCTTCTTTTTCTCTTAAAAATTACAGCTGCTATGTCATTTGCTGTTGTTTTTCTACCTGAGTCACATTATTCCCAGAAAGCTAGGAACCCTCAAAGATGACCCTGGAGATTAAATCAACAGGCAAAAGCCAAGAGCCTTTATTCAAGCTTGAGTTTGGAGATCCTCCATTTGTCTGATGCAGCAGTATGATCAGCAAGTGCTGAGCTTGGGCAGGGTAGGGTTTTCATCATAGTAGAGGTTGGGGGTGAAGGGATTTCCAGAGTTCAAGACCCTGTTTGGCTGATATTTGTTAGGGTGTTCTAACAAAAGGGGAATAGGTGTGTGCTGGACACAGGGATGCCTAGTGATCTTATCTAATCTTATCTAATGGTTGGAATGCTCAGAGTATCTTGTACTTTCCCTTAGATACTGACCAGGCCCTGAGTGGTGTCAGTTTATGTCTTTTCCTGGAACCTGGTGTTTCCTGCCAGTAAACTGAAAATCAGGACTAGTCCCTTGACTGGCTTTTATCAGTAGGGGTGAACAAGCTGTTCTGGGCCTCATAAGTCACAAAGCAGCTACTTTTAACACTGCTTCCTTGTTTAACAAGTAATCTCCGTGAATACAGGTGTGTAGGTGTGGTTTATGCCTTATCCAGAAATTCCCATTATGTGTGGGGTCTCCTTCACTCAAAAAAGCTGAAAACCTATAGCATCTTGCACCTGCAGGCAGATCAGCAGGTTGAAGAGTGTCATTTTCTGGTTGCTCAGTGTTTTAAACCTCTTCTTGGCAGTCATAGTGGTTTCTGTTTCTTCCATACAGCAGGACTTTTCATAGTACTTCCAGCTTGCTTTATCTAACAGTAATTCTCAGTATTTTCTGTTGTTTACTCTTGATATAGAGGGCCTAGTGACTTTGGTCAGATTAGGAACTTCCTGAAGCTATCTTTCGTTGTTTACTTTCTGTCTTAAGATACTTTTCTGTGGGATGGACTATCTCTGAGAAAATTGTTATACAACATAGAGTGTTCAATATCGTCAGTTTCTGAAGAATGAAAATGACATTTGCAAGGAGATGCTATTTCAACCCAATTACAAACGCTTCTATCAAGAATACTAAAGATTACAAAGGATGGTAAAGATATAGAAAAAGTTCAACTACTTACTGAAACATAGTAAGGGAATGCATTTTAATGTAGCCATTGTGAAGCACTGTTTGGAGATTTAAACACACACACACACACACACACACAAATATCCATGAGCCAGCAATTACACTGAGTACATATACACATGACAGAATACAGTATATCTAAAGAGATATTAATATTGCTGATTACTATATCTTTATTAGCAATAGACAAGGTATGTAACCTACTGAAGTTGCCATCAAAAGCTAATTTTACAAAGAATAGACAATTAAGTGATATATATATCTGTAAAATAGAAGTAAATCTTATCATTTACGAGAACAAAGATGGGGACATTGTGTTGACTGAAATAAGATTGACATGAAATAGACACCACGTGATCTCAGTTATACTTGAAATATAAGACTGTAGGAAACATAAAAATGGTTAAGTCATAGATTTTAAAGGTCAGGGAGTGGTGTTTATAGGTAGATAAGTGGACAATGTTAGACACAAGGAGTGACTTTAGATCTGTTGTACAGCACTGTGACTCTAGGTCAAACAGTAACATGTCATAGAAGCTTTTAGGACTAATTACAATGACAGGTAAAATAAGAACTTCTGACAAAGGAAACATGACATCCTGAGTCCTAAATCTGTGACTCTAATCGCCAAGTTGGATAAGACAGGGGTCAAAAAACTTGCCACTAAACTCCAAGTGTACAATGCTGTTTTCTGTAAATAAGTATAAATCATAAAATTAGAAATATATATGATATTGGCTTTCTTTTACAACACAATTTCCAACAATTTTGAGATGGTCTTAAATAAGTTGCTTTCATTTTGTCAGAAGTAGTGTTTAAAACATTGCTGATTATAAATTCATAATTTTGTCAACTCTGAAAATACATCAAGATGCTATGTGCTGTAAAAATATTTAACCAAAATTTTATATTTATGTTAATGTTGACAAGTATATCTTACCCCGTGTAAATTTTCTATCTTCTGTGATAAATGATAAAATTATAAACATAACAAAAATTATTCTAAGAACTAAGAAATTTTACAAATAATTTTAATCCATATTATTGAATATTTGATTTATATACCTATTTTATTACTCAATACTTGAAATAATGGAAAAGCTTCTTATGCAGTGGGCTTATCAAGAGAAGGGTTTAATAAAGCCCTAAGTTTGACAAAGTTAGGTTTTATAAATCTTACTTTGTTAAAATAATACCAACAGGATTAAAATATCTTGTAAAAATTGATGATTTTTAAGGTTCAAAACTAGTTCATTATATAATTATATCACATTTTCTGCATGCAACCATATGGCAATGGGCATATAATTCTCTATCATATATGGCTTATTTTGGGTAATGTTTCCAGGATTTCGTATAAAAACTCAGGATTGTACTTTCCTGGATCTCTGTGTGATCTCTGTGACTCCCATATGCAGTGGGGAGTAAGTTGGTCCTGCATCAACTTGTTATACCAAGTTTTGTTGATAACCATGCAAGGCCCTACCCTTTCTGAGAACTGGATGAGGAATAAAAAGGAGGTGGGGAAGGGAACAAGAGGACGGGAGGGAGGGAAAACTGTGGTTGATATGTAAAATAATAAAAATATTAAAAGAAGTCAGATTCCCCTTTGAGGTTTAAAGAATTCTCAAACAGAAACAAGATACTTCTAATGCAGAGATTATAAAGAGTCAAGTCCCAAGTTTTGGCTTATGTTTCTGAATGAGTTTAAAATAATACAATGGAAAAAAATGAGTATTTTTAATGGTTAATAAACATGTCCTCTTATATGCAACAAAGCTGTCCTTCAATTGCACCTTGTAGTCTCAGGTCAGAAGTATTTATCCTGCATTGTCTGAGAAAACTATTATGGCCTTCTGTGTGAGCAGGTTACTTACTACAAGACAGCACTAATCCTCCTTTGGGATTACTCCCACCACCCACATTCACTTCTATATCTAGGTTTACATTTATCTCAAAATGAGATCTGTGAGCTGATATACTACATCACAAAGGCCTGTATGATTAGACTAATTTATCCAGAGACTATGAATTTGATAAAAACTGTGAACTTTTGTGAATGCCTTGATTAGTTCTCTTATCATCATTCTCTTCAGTCAAAACTTACTGTGGAAAAAATCACTGAATTGGAAAACATCTACACTAATATGTTAATGAAATTATGGGATGGCAAAGGATCACTGGTTAGGACATAACTTCCAAAAGCATTGTTTGCACAGTTACATAATGAATAACATTGAAAGTAGAAGCCAGAATTTTCTGCCCTGAAAAACTCTTTGAATCTAGCTTATCAGATTAGAGCTTTTCTAGAAGAGTGCTAATATAGTCAGTTGGAAATCGGCATAAGGCAGATGAATGGTGTGTGTGTGTGTGTGTGTGTGTGTGTGTGTGTGTGTGTGTTGGTTGCTTGGGTTATGTGTCTGTTGTGACAAATATGGAACCCGAGTTAGCCTCTTTGCATCTGGGGCACTTATCTGCTTACCTCAGTACAACACACATTTAACAGTTATTTACGTATTGTGTAAGTTTTCCATACTGAGATCATCCAAACTATTGACTCCATTTGGTCTCCAGTTCATCTGAAGTTGCATGATCGCTGGTTTATTTGTTGTCTGGCTGAGTTTTTCTACTAAATAATCTTTTAATGGCATTTTTCATCTGATTATTTCTCAAGGTGTAGATTAATGGGTTTAGCATGGGAGTTATCACAGTATAAAAAATAGCAACTGCTTTATCCATGGGTAATGTAGCTGCAGGTCTCATGTACACAAATATGCAGGGTACAAAAAATAAGATCACCACTATTATGTGAGAAACACAGGTAGAGAGGGCTTTGTGTCTTCCTTCTGCACTGTGGGTCCTTAGGGAGCACAGGATAATCATGTAGGATATGAGCAGAAGGAGGAAGTTTAACAGACAGATGAAGCCACTGTTGGCAGCAACAAAGAGACCTAGAATGTGTGTATCAGTACAGGCTAAATCAAGCAAAGGGTTCAGATCACACATAAAGTGATCTATGACATTAGGGCCACAGAAAGGTAGTCCAACAATGAAAAGAATTTGTATACCCCCATGAAGAAACCCTCCAGCCCATGACACTCCCACAAGTAAATTACAGAGTCGTCGATTCATGATGGCTGCATAATGCAGAGGTTTACAGATGGCTACATAGCGGTCATAGGCCATGACAGTAAGCAAGATGACCTCAGCGCCTCCAATGAAGTGTTCCCCAAAGACTTGGGTCATACATCCATTGAACTGAATGGACTTCCTTTCACGGAGTGAATCAACAATCAACTTAGGAGTATTGACAGAGGAGTAGCAGGCATCAATGAAGGAGAGATAGGCCAGAAAATAGTACATAGGGGAATCCAATAGTTGACTATTTGTAATGGTGACCAGAATAAGCAAATTGCCTACCACAGAGAAGATATATATTACCAAAAATACAGAAAAAATAATTTTTTGCATGTGTGGGTTCTGTGTGAGTCCCAGGAGAACAAACTCAGTCACATTGTTTCTGTATTCCATCTAGTTCATGAGACAGGTAATCATATTTCCTGGGGGAAAATTAACACATTCTCATCTTTATTTAATTTCTGTATTATAATAATTAGTGCTTAAATTCTATTAATCAATAAAATGCTATCAGATTTTCTGTAAAAAATTCAGAAAGAATTCTAGATACTTATGACTACTTAAGACTATAGGTTTCCTCCTTAGTGAAAATAACTGAAAGTTTATGGATATGAGCAATGTATATAAATATACTAGAAAATCTTAAGTGTGCTGAATATTTGGGGTGACTCGTAATATAAGAGGATTTATAATTATACTCTCAGAGGCAGCTAAATCCACAAAGCATAGTAGGGTGTATAGTTTTTGAATGGAGTGTGCATTAAAGTAAAGTGAAAATATTTACAGCTTATTTATAGGAAATGGA